GAGCAGTACGCTGAGCAAGCTCGGTGCGATAATTTGAAACTTTATGTGCTGAGCCGCTCATCGTACTTATTCATCGTAAAGAGGAGTGGTAAGTCCCCCTGCCCCCCCCCCCCCCCTGACGCCCCACGCTCACCTACCCTGGTCAGGGTGTACTTTCCTACCTAACGTTAGAAAAAAATCATTGTACACCATTCGTCGTGTTTAAGGCAGGACATATCGTAAATAATCTCAAAACAGGTAGAATCATGCTCCTACCTTTGAATTTCAATAACTTCGATGGCGGGCCCCCGAGCGCCGCGCGCACCGCACCGCCTGGACTCCCCAGCGCCGTTTCTGCGTTGCCTTTGCGTAAATACAATATTTCTGCTTACCAAGAACTCTACAAAATGTACGGGACCAAAGTAAACCATTCGTCGTGTTTAAGGCAGGACATATCGTAAATAATCACAAAACAGGTAGATTCATGATCTTACCTTCAATTTTTTATAATTACGATGGCAAACTCCCGAGCGCCGCACACACACAGCACCCGCGACACCGGCGCCATTACTGCGCGGGTCACAACATTACTGTGCATCAAGCAGCATCAAGAACCATAAAAATGTACCGGGCCAAGGTAACAAGAATCCATGAAATTTGATCCTCGACGCCAACGGGACAATGGGTTGCAGGGGGATTGGGTGGGGAATGTAAAGCAAAATGAGAACATGGCAGCTAAATAAAAGCTCACTATATGGCACCTATATATGGCATGGAACATGGACGCCAATGGGATGCTGGGTTGAAGGGGATATAGGGTGGGGAGGTTAGGTTAGGTTAGGTTTGGTTCAGTTAGGTTAGGTTAGGTTAGGTTAGGTTAGGTTAGGTTAGGTTAGGTTAGGTTAGGTTAGGTTGGGTTGGGTTAGTTAGGTTAGCTTAGCTTAGCCTAGCTTAGCTTAGCTTAGCTAAGCTTAGGTTCTGGTCTATTCTCAGGTTAGGTTAGGTTAGGTTAGGTTAGGTCAGGTCAGGTCAGGTCAGGTCAGGCTAGCTTAGCTTAGCTTGGCTTAGGTTCTGGTCTATTCTCAGTTAGGTTAGGTTAGGTTAGGTTAGGCTAGGTTAGGTTAGGTTAGGTTAGGTTAGGCTAGTTTAGGATATGTTCTGGACTATCCTGGCCTGTGTGTTTCAAAAATGTACCTAAACTCGATAAGAAACGATTTTGGTTGCTTTATTTATGTTACCTTGGTCCTGTACATGTTTTATGGTTCTTGATAAGCAGAAATATTGTGCTTTCGCAACAACGCAGAAACGGCACTTGGGAGTCGAGGCGGTGCGGTGCGGTGAGTGCGGCGCTCGGGAGTTCGCTATCGTATTTATTAAAATTCAAGGGTAGGAGCATGATTCTATCTGTTTGAAATTATTTATGATATGTTCCGCCTTAAACACGACGAATGGTTTACCTTGGTCCCGTACATTTTGTAGAGTTCTTGGTAAGCAGAAATATTGTATTTACGCAACGGCAACGCAGAAACGGCGCTGGGGGGGCCCAGGCGGTGAGGTGCGCGCGGCGCTCGGGAGCCCGCCATCGAAGTTATTGAAATTTGAAGGTAGGAGCATGATTCTACCTGTTTTGAGATTATTTATGATATGTGCCGCCTTAAACACGACGAATGGTGTGCAATGATTTTTTCTAACGTTAGGTAGGAAGGTACACCTGCACCCCTACCCTCTCTGTTTCGTCCATGACTTGAAGCAAAGAATACACAACGCCTAGAACTTGTACACGTTACTGTTACGCGACCTAACATTGATGCTAGAAAATGTTCTGCGGTGAAAATCAGCATTAGAAAGCGAGGGGGGATAACACAGCTTGATTGCATTTGCTTGCATACCCGCCTAGCCTGAAACATGGCGTCTGACACGACGCCCATTTCATTCCATGCACAAGTGCGATGCGGCTCTGTGCGGCTCACCTTGCGCAAATTGAAGGGAGAAACCACACGCCCAGCTCACCATGTTTTTATGTTCCATTTTGTCGTTACAAGCCCTGCTGATGGTGACACTGGCGGAGCGCTCACTTCGGGCGGTTCCCGGCCATCTTTAACGAGCGTAATAGCGTGGAATGCTCGCAATTGAAAGATATAGTATCCCTGCCTTCATGTGTTATGTAGAAAAACCGAGATACCGTCTTGACTGATATGGAGTAGGGTCACCAACGCATTGACTTGCACAATTTTGGGGCTAATCGTGGACGATAATCAACAACGCGCGAGTCCCAAAATCACCCACCAACCACGCACACGCAAATGGAAATCCTGCCCCGATGGCGCGCTTTCGCTGCCAAGGTCACTGATAGTGATGGACAGTTCGCCCAAAATACGTCAGTTGCAGGAGGCGGATTATTGTGGGCTACATCCGGTTGCACACGGAGCAGGTCCTCGTCCAATTCTGTTAAAAGCGAATTCTCGAAGCCCCAAATTTGGTAAAATTATCAATGACCCGCTTCTCCCGGGATCATCCGTGGTAATGAGCATCAGCAGCCGAGACTGCCATAAATGCTGCGATATGGCAGGAGAGCAAGGACGGAGCCAGTTAGTCAAAGAAAGGAGGGTGGGGAGGGGGGGGGGGGGCGGAGCAACACCGATTTAAGAGCCCAGTTACGAAAAGCGTGTTTATTTTCCAAACCGATGCATTTCAAAATCGACGACCTTTCTCAACCAGAACCTCTCAGGGGCTCTCAGAAAATTTTTGACCTTGTCTTGGAAAGAAGTGTTCCAATGCAAGTGTTCCATAAACAATCCAATGTAACATCATAACAATGCAAACGTAGTTAAGGCTCTTCTCAATTAAGGAGCACCGTGGGTGGAACCATGGGCACTTAACATTTTCCTTTCATGATTGAAGAACCATTCTGTCTCTGGCAGCGGTGGATGCTGATTGCCATTCTGGGCACCACGTCGACGCCCTTAGAGGGATGCATGATATATTGGTCGTCTCCCTTGTGCGTCCTACATACGTTATTTCACTACTTCCCGAATTTTTGGTTATATGTGCTGTAAAGACCCCTGCTCCACTCTATCGTGATCGAAATGGGATTGTGTCATTGCTACTGAGCACTTCAACATGCTACGCCCTCAGAGAAACGAGATCGGCTGCGGCGCTTTGGAGAGGGCGGTGAGGACGGCCTCGACGAGCTGGACCATGTCGTCCTCGACATTATCGGTACAAAGAGCTCTTTTTGTGTATCTAATGTGTTATCTGTACTTGGCCATTATGTTTGTCCAACCCGGCCTAGCGCTCCGTTGTGCAGCCGAAAATAGTGGTTGACATCGGCTCATTTCGGGTATAGGGACCGCGCAGCGGAGGGTGAGTGATGGGAGCAATGGTATGTTTTCGCCCCTGCAAATGTTTTGGGAGGCCCTTGTTCCCCGAACTGGAATGCATTGCAACCGTCCGCAGATCACCGAAACTTAGATTAAAGAGGCCCCCATAACTGAACTAGACGGTATTAAAACGGGCTCTGAATCCGCTTTTATACATCCAAAGGCCACTTCCTCCTCATTATGGGTGGTATTTTGATTTGATGCATGTAATTATTTCACGAGGGATGATATAACCTATATGCCCTTCCCCTAAGACACTCTATTAGCCATGACACCCCTGTGAGGAAGCAATATATTGTCCAGGATGCCCCCTGAAAAATCCTACCCCGCCACCCAACTGGAAACCTACGGTACCGCCTCCGTCCTAGCTAAACACATTATGCTCGCAGCGTAGAAATCTTGTCCGTGTAGTGAATGCACGTAAAATTAAATTCACTTTCACGATTCACTTCAGCTTTTTTCCATACAAGGCATATTACCACAACATTTTCTGATCCGTATCTCCATTCTACTGTTTGTTATGAGGAATAAATCTGTTACCACTGTGTTATCTATGCAAATAACGCTATTTTATAACACTCTGTACAACTTCGTGCCGTGGTATGGTCTGAATCTCTCTTTGGCGGGTACGTATTGGTTGCAAGCACTGTTTCTCAATCAGAAGCCATAAAAGTATACCGCAGGGACGATACCACGCCGTCAATTCTTACTTCAATGGATGTTTCAGGGAGAGAAGCTGACTTGGAGATGACCAGCATTCCGGGATGCTACTCATCGTGCAAAGCAAGTAAAGATATAGAGCAGGACATTGTCAACCTGCTGTTTGAAAGCGATGCACATGTAGAGAAGCCAGCCTCTTCGCCGGCCGACTGTACATCGTGTATGCCTGCGGACGTAGCCCGAGACGATACGGCAAACGGCACTCCACGAGCAGTCGTGGCACCAAAAGTGACTCCCTCTGCCACTATCACGCGCTCAGAGAGGGACAGGCTGCGCGCCGAGTACGATGCCCTTATGGCCGTGCCTCCTGCCGAGAGGACGAGGGACGGATGGGACATGGTGGAAAAGTATATGCGTTGCCGTGTAGCGGAAGCTGTAGTGCAGCGTCTCGACGCGGGGCAACCAGTACCGCTGGCTTCGATTATCAGCATGGTCCCGCAGGGTGATGTTAAACGGTAGCCACAGGCATCTCCAGGGACAGGTTTGGCTGATGCCATGGATTTCAATGTTTTTCATCTAAACTCCGTCCGTCATCCGCTCTGTGACGCGCTATTCGTTCTTTTATCTGTTATCCGCTGTTCTGCGTTCTCCGCTCGTTAAACGCTATACTGTTACCTAGGGGGCGTTTCAGTCTGCGATGATATATGTTACGAATACTTTGTTTGATACATGTTGTGTATATACATGTATATATATATATATATATATATATATATATATATATATATATATATATATATATATATGCCCGTTTCAATACCATGGTTTGCTCTTTTTCTGAAAAGGATTGAAATGCTCCCATTCTGACGCATGAAGCGTGACAGTTTTAAATTATGTATGAAAGTATCCATTTATTCAATACGGAAGAAATAAAAACAGCGTACTTCAGCAGGCTATATTACAAAGACTGCTTTGCCACGTTCATTTGGAAGGTTACGACAATTCAATAGCATTACAACAACTCAGCGGGATGCATTCAATCGCATACACAAAACACGAACAGCCGCGCACACTGCAATGCCGCATTAACTCTCAAACGTTGTCAAAACAGACACAAACAGATGAAAAATGAAGAGCCTTGTTGGTATGGTTGACTGAGTTTCTATTCCCGGAACAGGCGAACAAACTCATTTCGTCTGGCCTGACCGGCGCGCCGCTGTGTGGTCGCATCCAGCCCCTGGCCCGTGGGTTGATCTTGGTCACCGGCCTCGCCCGCTCGGTGCTGGATTGCCGCCACTACCGCCGCGCCCGCCTCCTCAGCCAGCCATCGGCCGTCGTCTCCGGTACTCTGGCATACGTTATGTAAAATTGCGCACGCGCTGAAATGGCAAACATTTCATGGTAGAGCACAGCTAGCTTTTGGGTGACGTGCCACAAAAAAGGGGCTGGCTATGGTGTTGGTGGTGCCAGCGAAAGCGGCTATACACCAGCGTCCTCTCCCCACAATTGACCAACGTCGACGCGTAGCACAATCATTACTAGATCCGGAAACATCTAAACGTACGGAGATGCATGCATACATTCATGCCTGAATTTATAGAAACGTGCATTAGTACACCTATTTATGTATGCAACCATACACACATATTTATCCGTACACAAATTTATAACTACATGAGTGCATGCATACATCGCATTACTACATAAACGCCTGCATACATACAAGTATTAATTTGTCGTTGTTTGGCAGAAAGAGCTTATCCCGAGATGTCCTTAGATATTTTTAATGGAAGGTCCGGTATTGCCAGCGAATGTTAAAAACTTACATGGTGACGCGTACGCATGACTCGATCTTTTTCAGCCGCATCTTTTTCGTGTCTAGCGCCTGGAACCTCATCCGAAGGGCGCCGATAGTATTCTCTATTATCACGCGTGTCTTAGCATGTGCCGAGTTGTACCTGGTTTTTGGAGAGGACGCAAGAACAGCATGTGAACAGTCGCAACATGTAGGCGAAGAGCGTACCGCGCCTGACCCTATCCCCATCCCCAACCCAGACGTGTCAAGGGAGGCAGATATTTGAAGGGAGGCAGGGCTCCCACAAAAGAATACAAATCGACACCCATGACCCAGCCTGTAAAAACGAAGAAAGCTTATAAATGCACAAACGCTTATAAATGCCACAAGCTTGTAAATGCCACAGCATCCAGCCCGTGACATGAGAACAGCTAAGACACTCTTCCAGTTGCGCTTCAACTCATGTCCTTATCCATGTTTCATGTCCTCATGGAACATTTTGAACAGCCAGTACTACTTTGTTCATTGATCGCTTTCCGGCACATTTCTATCGGGAAGCGACACGTTGACTCACTTCAGCTCTAAATGGCTATCATGCATAAGCAAGACACCCAGGTGCGCTCAAACTGCAACTGACCTTCTCTCTTCGTCAGTCGCAGGAGCCGCAATTGGCGTTAAAAGCCACGGGAGGCAAGGGTAAGCGCTATCTCCCAGCAAGACTGCGCCTGGTGACGGGCCACCATTGGTGAAGCCAAGACCGCACCGAAAACGGCATGCGTTAGTCAAGCTAGGCACCAAAAAAAAAAAACACACACACATAAAAACAGCAACATGCAGCATTATTCCTTCGTGGCTTTCGGCAAAAAATGCGTGATTACATTACTCAATGACATTGACAACAACAGCATTCACAGAAGTTAGCAGCACTTTTAATAATGATACAAATGTCAAAATCAGTGTTCTTGTACAAGGTGTGTTCAACGCCTCGACATTTAAAGGTTATGGTGTGAAAGCTGAAGAAGGGTGCAGTGCAAGGGGACCAATTCACGAAAAAAGGGTAATTCTGGGCACAAAGGCAATCCAAATATTAACGTGTAGCTGTAACAAATTCTGATTCTTACATCACCAATGTTGCCGCAGGAAATATGGCTTTATGACAGTAAGACATCATCTCACAGGATGAAAAGCAACAATTTAAAATAAACGGGTGCATACACGTACTATTTCACAATCCCGGACGTTCGCAGAACCCTAGCGTCGTGAACACGACCACTGGCGTGTGCGGACGCCGCAAAAATTCGGCGGTCGGGTCCTGCCACGACCATGACATTGATGCTCGTGGCACCCTTCCGATTTGTGTAATTGTCCGTTTGGCTGTTCGGCACAGTAATATTGATGTGTGTGCCATCAACGCAGCCTGAAATAAGGATGAAAAGCATTAATGGTCATGAAGTCTCCAGTCGCACGGCTGGGCAGCTTACGGGGGCTCCAGATTGTCATTTACGGGTGCGGCCTTGCTCCTAAATTAGACAGGGGCCCTCTAGGGACCACATCGGCACGGAGCAGCCTGTTTCGTGTAGGTGGTCTCTGTCAGCTGACTGACAAACGGGCCATCGCTGTCTCATGAAGCCCACGATCAGTGCAAGAGACCCTTTGACTGCTGTCTGACATTTTGACCTCGTATGTTCCGGTTTTCGTGTGCCACAACCTGACCTCGTATGGCCTGCGATTAGTGCTTCGGTTTTGGTTTTAAACCTCAAGACCAAAGGGGGTGGGATGGCCGTGGCCCCAATCGATCTGCGCCTGTTGAACAGTTAAGAAACCTGTTGAAATAATGATCACACTCCCATTTGCCAAAACCTGCAGCATCCACTTCAAACAATGTTTGATTTACGCTCAAAAGACATGCATACTAAACATCATACTGTTGGCGGACAAAACAGAAAACATGCGGTTCTGGTTCGGTCATTTTAGTGATGAATACATTGTTCTGAGCAAAAATCATCAAGCGGCATAGCGCGCCGCGCGCATGGGCTTCGTGGCGCGTGGGAGGGGCTTGGAGGCCAATGGGAATGGTTGGTCGTAATTTTCGTTTTCAGCTTCAAATCTAAATGATTATGGGTTGCAATGGTTGATGGCTGAACAGTGCGTGACATAAGATGCAAAATCTACTTCTGGGCTACAGAAGTGACGTCCAAGCACTGCCTCATATACCTAACGCCAAGAGCTGAACGTAATGCAGGTACTGAAGAGAATAATAGAAACGTACCAACAATGTCAGGTAGTCCATGCATGGCATGAAATTTTCTTTTCACATCTGTCAGCTGCTGTCCACTGGGCCAGGTGAGCACTGCACCAAAGGCATCCAGGAGCAGTCCGCTGACACGGTGTACGGTCCTGCACACTGTCGCCTTAGAGGGGCCGTGGCCGTCCCCAACCATGATGTACGTACTACCTGTTGCGTAGAACCTGAAATGTATACAACAGATCTGTGTGACATCAGCAAATTGAAAATCGAGGAAGAGTTCATAGTGGAACCTACATGGAACCAGGATTAAAACAGTTGAAATTTTTGAACATTTCAATATATTTGATACATTTGCTTTGAAAAATAGGCATTCATGGTACTAACAGTGCAACAATGTACAAAAATCTAGACAGACCTCATGGCTAGGAGGAACTGCTGCTCTGGGCTTAGTGCCATGCTTCTTTTTGTTGGATGGCTCAATCTTTCACCAATATGATTTAAAATGGCATCTGCAGCCCTTGCAGTAATCCTGAAGCGGTACCTGTGAAGTAGAATAAATGCTATAAACAATCAACTGACATTGCTGTGATTGCTTTATAGTAATGATTGATGGGATATATTCAGCATCAGTGTGGACAGGCAAAGACAAATGTTGATTATATGAATACACTACATTCATTGGCCAGTGCATACCCTATCAAGGTGCTCAAAACACTAAGGGAACTGGGTGATTGCTCAACAAAGTCAATTGGCTTGACATAAAGTTAAAGGGTGATGTGCTTTCAAACCCAAATCACCATCAAAGTCAAGTGCTACAAATAATGGGTAATGCTTACTGAAAGGACTCAGGTAGCTCCCAGGCCATGTTGATTCTGTCTCTGAATTTTCCTGCATTTCTCTGCCTTCTCTGCATTACTGCAGATCCAGCATCCATGTCTGAGTGCAACACTGCCTGACAATGTAATCTTAAGCTTGAATAACTGATCCAAATGTATAATGGCACTGGTGTACACCTGTGACCAAGTTTTCTACAACAGGCTGGGCCATTGTTGATTTGTAGTTGTGATTTGTACTTTCCATTTTACACATTCATCATGACTGTAAGATCAGCTGGCCTTTATGAAACAAACCTATGTGATTGTTTACAAAGTCTCAACAAATTTGTGTATTTCTGTGTGTAGATTTGTAGATTTGTAGGTTGTAGTTGTTTTTTGTAGGTTTGTGCTTCATGAAACACATTTTTACAACTACACATACAAACTTACAAACTACAATACAACTGTACAAAAAACTGCCTTTGTGAGAAAGGCTACTGGTTGTGCCCGTTTCGTACTGCGCATAAAATGCTCGCAGTGGATATTTTTCTTCTTCTAAAAAAGGCGAAGTAGTTGAAGAATCCTGACAATGCTAGTTTCCTTAAAATCTTATTGAATAGCTCAAAATTTGAGTTTGAGATGTTTCTGTGAAGGGAGAAATTGTATTGGGCTTTCTGCTGGTCATAATAGAGTTACTATGGTCCATTTGTTTGACTTGCCAATGTGAGTGCTAAGTAATGTCTTCAATATGCCACTTGGTTCCCAAGGCACACAGTTGGCTTGGATGAGGTGAAAGCTTGATGTGCTGCAATGCTCAGGCCTGTCCATGTTGTCCTCTGATGTCATCTGACCTTTGGCAAGATCCCTGCCACCAGTTTCAGGCTATCCAAAACCACATCCCCGCAAGACACTTCCAAGTTTTATGGGTGTTGTCATGACAGGTTATCAAGATGGGAGTTCATTGTATAACAGCCAATAATTTTCAGGCACCTGAATTTGTTTCCATCATCTGGCCTATTAAGCATGGAGGACACCATTCACCATCAGTTTTGTTTGTGATGTGACACTTCACAGCCATAAACCATAGCTGTTTTCTAAAGTATTTTCTCCATGCCTCAAACTCAGTAGGTAGTGGACCGACTCAAGTAGGGTTCCTTCATGTCATTGCAAGCATCCTGGGATTACCTTTGTCTCTAGTCCCAAATCACCAAGACCTGAGTTCACCAGTGGTGCCATTATCCTGACTTATCACACTTATAGCCTTGATGTGGTGGCTTTGCACACATGCACATCAAAATATGAATGTTTAGCAATATGTTCTTCAATATTTGCCATATCTTGCAGCTGTATGCTGTAAATTGTTAGCAGACAGTGCCTGGGGAACATATGGCTGGATGTTGTGATGAGGCAGGAGGTGGTAGATACTACCAGCTTTCATAGTAGAGGCCAGCTGGAACCTTCTGTTCACCTTTGTTTCTGGTGTTCACCTATGTTCTGCTCACCTATGAACCTTCCATTCACTTGTCATGAGTGACAGTCTTATTATTTTTAATTGCTTGTCCTCTAAAGTCAAAAATATGCCCAATTCTAAGCATCAGTCCCTCCCCAAGGACATTGCATAATCTCTATTCACATGGAGTAATCTCTATTCACATGGAGTATGAATGAAGCTGTGAGAAATGATAGGTGAAATTGAATTTTTACATGTCTCCTAGGGGCAATACATTCTGCACATTTTTGCAATATGTGCAATGTCTTAGATGTCTCAGAGTGTATCCATAAGTGACTTGCAAATGCATGTTTCAGGTTCAAATCCAGCAGTGCAACAACCTTTTTGCACAATGGACAGGGACAAGATCACAAAATATGAGGAATTCCTGAATGAGACCTTGAAAGTAGATCTGAAGTAAGTGAGCTTTGCTCTTCTATCTCATTCAGTTTATTTATTTCATTATGGGCACATCTGGATGGTGATTGTTCCTAGTCATATAAAAACATGACGCACAGAGAGGTTTACACAAAGGCAAATGTAAAAGCAGCTTCAGTCAGTGAGTCAGCAATTTAAAACACTCAAGAGTGCGCAAGGGCTCGTTGACGGCCGCCGCGGGCAGACGGCTCCACGCTGCGGAGCCGGCGGTGCGGTTCGTAAACTGCTGCTGGGCGGCGGTCATTCGGACGCGCGGCAGATGTAGCGAGAAGACGCCCCCGAAACCGCCCGAGTTTGACTCTGGAAAGGCTCTGCGCCTGTCACGGATAGAGCACGCCGTGCCCTGGAGGATTCAAGTTCACAGTCCGCGCTCTGTTCACATTCAAAACTTGTGTTCCAAGCATTGGACCAGGAAGCGTGTGATTTCGCTGTACAACCAAACAAACAGGTGTTCGCTAGTGTTCCAAGCATTGGACCAGGAAGCGTGTGGTTTCGCTGTACAACCAAACAAACAGGTGTTCGCTACTCATGCAGTACGCCCTAATTGCGTCCCACGTGAGTGGATAGCGACAATAGCCGAGGGGGAGGGAGGGGTGACCCCGCCGACCCGGCGGACCCTAGTCGAGTGCTTTTTTTCTTTGTGGACGGTATGAGTAGCACCTGTTCTAAATGAATCCATTGTTGTAGTTTCTAACAAAGTCGACTGGCTCCCCTTATGACCGTAAAGTACAGAGGCGTTGCATCACGCATCCGCATGGTACTTAGAGAAGCTGCTCCACATTGGGGTGGGGTTGAAGATTGATTGGAATTTAGGTCAGTCTTGCGCCTAAAAGCGTACCAATAGGTACGAGTAAACCTTTTTTATGCTATGTGATACTTGCCTAAATATTTTCATGGCTGAAACACTCCCTTGAATTGTATGCTCACAGTCTGCGATCGCATAACGCGTTATTGACCTGCCACCGCCCATCACAATCCCTCAAAATGAGTCAAACTGGATGACAACGTCCACTGTGCCTTCAGCCAGTTTAAAATTTATAAAAGGGAGTGTCTGGGCCTTTGGTGTGCAAGACGATGCACCCTTGAGCACTATTGGAGCCGCCCGTTGCAGAAATGTTGAATACTCCATATAAATGGAGATTTTCACATTTGTTTTGAACTAAGATAGCCATCTAGAGAAATCATTCGGCGCAGTTCATAGCCCTGCCCTTCTTGAAACCTAAATCCTTCAAACGCCCGCTAAATGTGCAAAGTATTCGGGGAGACTGTGTCAAGGTCACCCGGGCATCCATAATGTCATGATGACGTCATTCAGACTCTGCCATTCCATCTGCCGTGCCGCGATCAAGGCCAAATTAATATAACTGTCGAATCGTTCACATCAGGTGTTCGTGAGCGCAAGTTCCAGATACAACGGCTGTCAATCGGCTTGTAATCATCGTTGCGCAAGGTACAGTGTCATAATCAAGCAAGGACGTACATGTACATGCACAGCACATGTACTAAACAGAGGATCTGTGTTGTCTAAAGCAGTCTTTCCACTTAAAAGCATGCCGATGATTATAAAGGGCCTTATTTCATCATATCTGATGCTGGTTTCATTAGCATCAAATGTAAAACATTCCAATATTAATGTCAACGTGTGTCATTACACGATTATGAATACAGTTCTCTAATCCCCATAATCAGACTACCCTATATATATATATATATATATATATATATATATATATATATATATATACATACATATATACGCATGTATGATTGGTAACCTTTTTTCGAGGCCTTGGCTTTCTCGAACCCTCAGCGTGTCCTGAGTATGGCGTGACCCAACTCTGACCCAGTCATGGCAAAGTCGAGCGACTTGGAAACAATGTCAGTATTTGACGTCCTGGTAAAATTTCAACCGCCAAACATGTGTGGCACTAGATATTGCTACCTGGGATATTAGTTTGACCTCCTCCGTCTTTGGATTGCATTGGTCTGTCAGCTTTCCCTATGGGCCCTGCAGTATTTCAGAGCACTGAATCAACGTACATCCTCTATGTGTCGACCCGATAGCTCATTTGGTTAAAGCGCCAGCCTTCCGAACCGCCCATCCGTGGTTTGGTGGGTTCGAGTCACTTAAGGCGCTAGCTATTTATCTTTGACAGGTTTTACTTGCGGCGGGCGGCAGCGGCCACACGAAAGGGCACGTGACGTCAGAGGGCAGGATGGGCCGTGCCAAGCAGTGCGGCACGTTAAGCTTTCGCCACCAAACTCTGCCATTGACCTGGAATTGCGCCATCGGCTGATAGTGATCAAGACTGACACAACAAGCACTGGTCTGTAAGCTCTGATTCCTGAATTTCATCCAAGTAAAAGGTTCGTGGTAAATAGATACGACAGGACTGCTTGTCTTATTCATTAAAGAATAACCCGGAGAAACGAGATGTAGATGCATTGCTATTTCGGCTACCTGCCTGTATCGAAACAAATATATTCGTTTCGCTAAATCCGATAAATGCCAGACGTCGGGCATGCCGTGGGATGCTTCAGCTGTGGGGCCATGCCCTGGCTCGGACCGAAGAGGTGCTTGGTCAGCTCTTTGTGAAAAAGGCCATTGGCTGCCGCGGACTCATAGCCGGCGGCGCCACAGCGGCACTTTCCGGGCTCCGGCTTGCGTATGCCGCACAGGTAGTCCCTGGCGGCGCAGAAGCTGCCCAGTGTGCCCTCCCTTTATTGGACCCGGTTCTGGTGGGGGGGGGGGGGGGATTCTGTGCGATGAAGCAAAAAGAAAAGAAAAGAAATAAAAAACCTATGGAACGTCACAACATAAACTCGACTACCAGCGGCCCCCTCGCAGGGGGTCAGTATCCGGCCCTTCCAGCAGGGGTCAAAGCGTCGATCTGGGTGCGAAAAATGAGACCGCACCTCACTTTCTGATGGCAAGGAGCGAGCAGGAGGATTAGAAGCTCGCAGACTTGAGCCTGTTCCGTCGCCTTCATGGACTTCTCTCGGTGCCCGGCGAACCAAGTGGTGCCACTCGGTAATTAAATGGAGTCTTGCGCGTAGAGTATGACGTGGAGAGAGACATAAAAATACACGCCCAATAAACTCTTCTATAACCACACACAAGGAAAATAAGTCCAGGTACCCGTCTCCGCAACACCGACCACACCCACCAATCAGGGAGAGGGGGTCATGCACCGCCGAGTACTAGAAGGAGTGACCAACGAGGGAGGGACTGAGGGACCAGTGGGTCAGAACGGGTCATCACTGAGGGGTAGTGGATCAGAGGTGACCAACGAGGGGTTGACAAGGGTCTAGCTGACCAGGGCGCCGCACGAACAGAGCGGATTGTATTTAGCGCTCCATAACCGAAAGGCAGACTGATAGCTTCGTTCTCATGCTTGATATGCCCATCGTACCTGAGACGAAGGTGGGAGACATCAGGCAGCGTGCCCCAGCTCATCCCTGCATGCAGGTGCGTTTATATGTTTTCGGAAAGGCTTGGCCCGGCTTTCAAACAGAAACTGTTGAACGCGTTTGCTATTGACGATGCAGGTGCTTTAATCTGTTTCCGGAAAGGCTTGGTCTAGCTTTCAACCAGAAACTATTGAACGCGTCTGCTGTTGACGAGTCCAGAGTGGACTCGTGTGAGCGTCCGTTCAGTCCAGCTGCGCGCGCGATGGAGCCTGTGCAAGCGGCAGGAACATCAGTTAGCGCGGAGAAGAGGATGAACTCTGCTCCAACGTGGCCGAGGGCCGCGCCCTCCCTCAGCGCTTGCCGTGCCCGTGAACGCGACGGCGCGCCGCCCTCCTCCCGTCTCCCATGTGAGAGCGGGCGCTCCCGGGGGACGGTCTGGTCTGGTACTGACCAGGCAACCCTGGTCGCTGCCCTGCCCCTGTGCGGGGCTCCTGGGGTGTCTGGGGTGGGGAGCGAGAGCCCATCTGAAGCCCGGCGTCAGCCCGCCCCCGCCTGTAATGTGCGAGCAGCTGCTCCCGGGGTGGGAGCCCTCTGGGTCACCGCGAAGGGTGCTCCGGTAGCTCCGCGCGTGCCGGGGGTCCGCGCCTGGTGACTGTCAATCGCCCGTAACGGCGCCCGTAAGTGTCAGGACAACCCGTCCTGTCAGTCGGCCCGAGGCGTTAGATCTTAGGGCAGTGGGACGCGCAGCGCGGCTGTCCCGTCCCAGTCCGCCCACTTTTCCACCACTATCAGCAACACGAACCCCATATTGGGGGCGATGCCTCCCCCCCCCTCCCACCAACGCATTCGTTGAGAGATGCAAACGGAGCCCAGGTGCCGTCCCCTGTCGGCCGTGGTGCGAAGCGGGCCCCACCCTAACCTGTGTCGCCCACGGACCAGGGAAGTCCTAGATCCCGTCCCAGAGTACGGTCAGAATCGGCTGAAACCGTACACGGTAAGGCGTAGGCATTGAGCTCAAGAATGAGAACCGAATATTGGTTTTAAAATAATTATGTCGACTCGCTGATGTCAGCACTGACGTGAGCCCATAGCAGCACGATGGCAGCGGCATGACGCTAACGTCCATTTTATAATGGAACGTAGAGGTTTTAAAGCCAACTTCACTGGCCTAGAGCGGACTTTCTACTCGAGGACACAGGCCGTGGCATGTCTACCGGAGACAAAACTCGCTCCGAAAGTTGTGCATGCCGCCGTGCAGTGCTACAACATGTTTCGAGCGGACATCCGTGTAAGCACTGTCCCCCGCGGTGGTTTCGCCTTTCGCCTTGGTGCACAATGGAGTCCCTTGCAGGGGCGTGCCCCTGCAAACGTACGTTTAACACATCCTTCACAGAAACAGTTTAAGCGTGTTAAACAGAGTTCGTCACGTCCACAAAACACAACCGTGTGGCAATAACTGCCATCGACCTGTCGATACGCACCCCAACACTCGCCACTTGCGTCTGTTGGGGCGTGGACGATCGCCCGAACGGGATCGACACTTCCCTATCGGACTTAAGTTAAAAACT